ACAAAGCGAAATTCTATTCACAATTTTGGAATCTTTTGGGAAGATCAGTGGATGCCTTTTACAGTGGTGTATTAAGGGGGCATGAGATTTGGATTTGGAATATGATTTCCGATTTCCAACAAAATGTCTGTTTTTAGGGCCTGTAATAGAAATACTTCACCGTATATAGCTTTACTGTCGCCATATAGGTATACTATAATAATATGTAAGAATCTTTGCAATAGACCCACAAAAGTCTTAGGCCTACTGAAAATTGGAATGGTGCAAATAGATGCTATGGCCTTGATACACACAAATATTTTATTAATCCTCTTTACAATCCAATTAAACGGGCAGGTTTGCCATACGTTTGAGCCTAAGACTATAATCAGTAATAATGTTCACATCTCACTATCCTAATTTGAGCTTTCAAATCCATGTGTGTCTAGAATTATCCGCGTTTTATTGGTCCTTTCTTGACGGATAGGAAAGATATAAATTCATTAAAAAATTATGGCATCATTCACGCTTGGTAATTATAATGCTGAATAGAGAATTACATGGAGTCGTCTATAATAATTTCTTTACCATCTGATGGAGCTCAACTTCGACTATATATATGGCACTTTTCAGAATTAAAATCCAACGTCCGTACTCCAAACAATTCAGCATAGTGAATTTTAACGATACCTTTAACATTTTATTCAGATTAATATTAGATGTTCTTCGTTGCTGTTGAAACATGTCTTAGAAATCCACTAGGCTATTTACATTTTTTTCTGTTTTACCAAAAAATTATTTGGGACTGGTCATATAAGGGGACAGCTTCGCCATCCGTTTAAGCAATGAAACCTTTAGTCTCAGAAACGTGTGTCAAGAACTACTCGTGTTTGAATGTTAAAATGACGACTCGTCTTTTCTTGAAATTCCGCCATACAAGACATTTTAGATAGAAATAAAAATTTCTTGCAGTTTAAGTAGTGTTGAGGATTATTTACATATATTCAAGACCAAAATCAAATCACGAAAATGAAAACACAATTACGAAATAAGATTGATATAAGTCAGTAGCCTATTGGTAAAATTAGTAGTCAGTGTTAAATGTAAGGACAGAGGGGGTGGGGCAGTGGCTTCCCTCAGAAAAGACGATGGCCTTGCTTTGGCCCATCCACTTTCAATTTTTGTATCATTTCACATAGTGAAGGAATGGTTCGTTTCTTTTGCCTTACTTTCAGTATATGCTGCAAATTAATCACAATTTTAGATTACAACATCCGTCACTAAGAAATAAGTGACTGTGATACCGATAATACAGGTGTAATTAACAGGTGTTTTCGAGCCAATTTCGACTATTATACGGTCATTTTCAAGGCGTAAGCGACATTCACGCGTTAAGATGTTTCCAATTAAAACATAATATCAGTAAAAAAAGAAAACAGTGAAGTTTATGTAAAGATCGGCTACCAATGTAAATTCCATTTTTAAAACCAAACGTCGCATTTTAATTCCGGGAAAGAGTTTATGAGTTTTTTCTTTCCATTTTACTCTGTTTCATTCACCTCTTTTCTCATTAATTGGTTGGTGCCATTTCAAAGTATAATATTAGACTGAACTATGGTGTTCGTTTATCTTTGTAACCATCTTCACAAAGTCAAGCTATTACGTACTTTGTCTTATGCCTTGACTGCAATAGCCACCTTTTATATGTCAACAGTCGTTTGTAACTGCAGCCATTTGATTGGATTTACGCAAAGGAATACAATTAATCAGAGGCCTCAACAATAAGCATAATAAGTTAATAATAAGTCTAAACATGTACAGGCTTTTTGTCAAGGGCTCTGATTGGCTGTATTCGCCAGCATACAATCCAATCAATTCACTGCATTTCATGATGAAAAAATCAAGGTGTAAGACGAGTTCGAAATTCGTAATAGCTTGACGTAATGAAAATGTTGCCCAACAGACTACTATATCCAAGTACAGTAAAAGTAAAGTTAGTTTTGAGGTAATTCTTACTTTGGTCAGGGATGGTTGATTTTTGTTGAAAAGACACGAGTTTAACTACTATCAGGTTTGTTGTTATCACATGTCGAGAAACGTGAGTTTAGTCCAGTTTATCCAGTCAGTCACACAATGATATGGCGATAGAGATCTAATACTGGATGATCACGACTAAAGAATGTTGATTAACTGACCAATGGGAAAAGAGCAAAAGTTATGGTGAGATATGATTGGTCGATTAATTAACATACGGACAGAAGGCAACTACTGGGTTGTCGTGACTAAACGGACTTTGACAAATTATTCAACAATTTTCAGTGTAGAAAACAGTGTTGAAGAACTCAACAATGAGCTTTGGACCTATCCACAACGGTATAACTCTTAAGGCGTTGTTAGAAGACCCAAATCTTCAGAATCCACCCATATTAAACTCAAGTAAGTAAACGTTGATTCTCTCTTCATCATGATTGTTGTTGATTAATGTCGTTGTGACCTTGGCATAATTTTGACCTTATTATTGTGGTGGTGTTAATAAATAGGCCAGTTCACCAATTTTACCGTCAAATCTTCTTTTATTTTCCTGATTGTCTTATGTTATTTATGAAAGAACACCAATAAATTCGCTTTACATTTCACTCAATTGAATTATACTCATTAGAAGATTGATATTATTCATTTGTTGTAAAAAGTTGTACTTTGTACCAATCAGTGCTAGATGACAATAATTTGCTTATAAATATGGCTGCCATGGTCAAATATATCCATGTATTTATCTTTTTCAATAAAGTAAATCACCTAGAATTTTAAATTACTCTTGTTTTATACAATTTAGGAGGTATAATCAGTTATAAGGTGCATGTCAACTTGACTTCTGTAGATTAATCAAAATGCTGTTTCAGTTCTTGATTGCAAGTATAAGCTTATAGCTAATGTCTTTTATTGTTAAATGGGTCTTTACTCATTATTTAATAAAAAAAATGGTTTATTTCACACTTTATACACTAGATTGGGATAGAAAACAAAACAATTCTATTCCATGTTCAATGAGATAGATTTTGCAAGGACAGTTACATAAGTTCTATTTAGACTGATAATTGATCTTTTAAAGGGCAGAGCTTTCAAATCTACCCGAATTTCTGCATTTGGAAGTTAAAAAGACTTGTCGTTGTCTTTTCTTGAGACATACTTGTAGAAATAGAAAGTGAAAATCTTAGTTTGATGTTTGGTACATTTCCTATATTTCTGAAGACTGTTAATGTATATTCAAGACCCAAATCAACCTCCCTTAAGCAGGCTTTTTCCATGTTAACAATTAACAAGTTTCAAAGGAAAAGGATAGTCTGAAGTCTGATAGCAAATCACTGATTAATTGATTAACCAATTAAGTGACTGATTACCTCAAATCAAATTGGATGCAGACTTCCACAGACAATTGGGCTTGGAAAAGTCAGATTTTTTAGAATAAAAGTTATAATCATAGATATCTCAGGATTTTGGCATCAACATTTTGTTCTTCTTTTAAGATGATTCAATTTGATGTTGAATCTACCTAATGGCCTGGCAGACAGATGACGATTCAAATAATGTTTTCAAAGAGTTCTTTCTGAAAATTCTAAAACTAGGTCACTTATATTTTTGCGGAAAATATTTGAATAATTTCAAAAGTAAGAGGTCATTGTTCACTCATATCACTTGGAGTATTTATGTTTGCAAACTTGAATTGGTAGTACCGGTACTTGCTTTATTTATTGTGACTCAGTAGTAAGGAATTTTCTCCTATTTGGTCATACAGAGAAAAGTTATATCCTCTACCATGAGAAAAATTATATAAGAAAAGTTCATTTAAAGTACTAGATGATGTTTTAAAGGGATCATGTAGTAGTCTAAATAATTATCAGCTGATAATCTGATATCACTTCTCATATTTTAAATCTGGTGAGCACATAAATCTTGAAAACTGTTTGGGAACACCATGACCCCAGTCTCATGATCCACATTATTGTTATTATGGTTATTGTGGGTGACCGCTTGAAACCTAGCATATGCCATATTTGGTCTTGTTGACTTTTTGGTACCGTTTGAAACTCGTAAAAGCGAGGATCTTGTGATCAAAACCTCATATTCTTAGCTTGATTGTAAATAGCCTAAAACCACTAAATTAAATAACACATAAACAGTCAGATTAAAACCTCGTAAAATATTATATGTAAACAAAAAACCTCATAAGCAGTACTATTATACAAGTTATTAGTTGAATAGGGTGGAGTACTCAAATTGTTATACGAGGTTTAAATTTTCAATGAATGAAAACTACGTATAGCTGTAAAAAAAATTATAAAAAAGATTTTAACAAAATACACATACACATTTTTTTGTGCTTTTGTCAAAATCTTGTCACTTTGAAATTTTATCATATTATATCATTATACGAGGTTACAAGCAGTCACCCACGATATACAAAAGTAAAGTTTTCTCGTTTGTAGATGTAGTAATTTGCATGTGTTCTGGTGTTATAATGGGTGCTATTAAGTCAAGATAAAGATGTCTAATTAAAATGAATTTTCGAAATTATAAATATTATGAATTTTGAATTCCTGTAAGTTTAAAGATAAAATGCAATTCAGTAGTATAAGACTATTGATAAATTAATACTTTGCTCTATACTTTCTGTATAATTGGTGTGCCAACTGGATTGTGAATGAGCTTTTTCTCCCAGTGTTCAACAATATATGAGTTTTGGTTTTATATGGGTGGGTTTTCTAATCCAGAAATCCATGTCCCCTTAAAATTTAAAATTTTATGCTCAATGTTATTTTAATAAAAGGATAGCCGAGTGTCAAACAAAAGTTTTGTTAATAAAAAGATAATATACAATGTTTTTTGAATATAAATTTAGATTTAGAAAAATCAAGGAGTTGCTTCTGCAAAATTATGTGCCAACAAAAATGAATGATTTCAAAATATTTTAACTTGCAGATAAAGATGGTAAGAAAGGAGATGAATTACAGTATAATTTTGGTTCAGCATTTCTGGGACCAAATTTATGGGATAAAACCTACAATGACCCGGATTTTAACTTGGAGTATATGGACTTAGATGAATTCCTTCAAGAGAATGGTATACCACATGTAGATGGAGATTTGTCAGAGCTGTCCAATGGCGAAACAAGCATGCAGTGTCAATCTCCACCACAAATTGCTTCACCACGACGACTTCCTTCTCCACCACAAATTGCTTCTCCATGTTCCCTTTCTCCAAGATCAAGTGTAGCAGTTAATCCACAGTCCTTATTTCAATCATCGCCACCATCAGCTGTATCAACTTCACCACCGCCAACTCAAGTAGCAGGTACCGGTAACATTCTTTCTATATTTTAGTAAATATTCCAAAAGTTACATGGTTGTTAAAAGCACAGATTATTCTTCGAAAAGCTTGTTTCTGGTCGAATTCAATCCAGAATGGTCCATACCAAGTGTTAAGTTTTAGTTACATAATTTATAATGGGCTTTTATGATAATTGTCCTATGATGGTTCAATTAAAGGGTTTTTTGTAGAGGAAAAAAAGAAAAACTGATCTCCATTGTATAACTAACAAGTTTCTATCACAGTTGTGTTCACACCTATCAAAATATCATATCTTGACATGCTTTGATTTGGTAAATGTCATTCAATTGCAGCTGTGGTTGAAAACTTGCTAGATTACAATACTCGAGATAAAATATATCAGAATAAAGAAAAGAGTAAAAGTGTAATCTTATTATATTAGAATTGGGATATAGTGAAATAGGTTTTTTTTTTTCCCCTTTTTTCTTTTGACTTTTTTTTTCAACATTCAAATTTCAAAATTTTCTTTTTAGCTTCAAGATTAAGTCCCTCTCCACCTGTTAGCCCTATTGTACCCGAGGTCCCGTTTAATGTGAATCCACAAGACTTACAGCTTGTTACTATCCCAGGTAATAAATATTTCAATTTGACGAAAACCTTTTCTGAATTATTTTAGTTTCAATGGTACATGGATTACTTTTACAGCAATTCATGCTTCTTGGCAACAAAAATGTTGTCATATCTTCTAAGATCCTCATCATTTATATTTTAGGTCAAACAGGTTTTGATCCCAGAAAACGTGCATTTTCTGAAGAAGAATTGAAACCACAACCTATTATTAAAAAATCAAAAAAGGTGAGTCAATTTCTTGTATTATCTCTATCATCAATACATACCAGCCTCCTGGAAGTGGAAGGCACCATTTTGGGCAGATATGGGATGTACTGTTGGTAATGATAGGACTATTTTTCCGGCCACTGTATCAAGATTTTTAGTTGTGTGTGTTTACTTGATAAGAAGATATGAAAGGTTGAAATGATCTGTACAATAATAAATCTAGAGTAATATACCTTAAATTGTGTTCCGTCATTTAAAATTCATTCTGTCATCAGTTTTTTTTATATAAGGCACTATAAAGAAGCAAACAAAAATTTATGTCATTGTATAATTGTTAGTGGGGTCACTTTTTAGGACCATCTGCAATTCGACATATGACAAGATTGTGACAGAATAGCAAAGGTCCAGCCTATTTAAAAGTCTTGCGGTATTTTTTAATATTTTCTAAACCATTGAAAAAGTTTGAAAATACAAACATGTCTTCTAGGTATTTGTCAATGAAGAGAAGAAAGATGACAAATATTGGGCAAGGCGAAATAAAAATAACACTGCAGCCAAACGGTCACGTGATGCCAGGAGAACTAAGGAAAATCAAATTGCGATGAGAGCAGCTTTCCTGGAGAAAGAAAATGAAGTGATGAAAGCAGAGGTGGAAAAAGTCAAGAAAGAAAATATTGAATTGAAAAAACGACTGGCAAAATATGAATGTTAAACCATGACAAGATACATGACTCCTTATACCAGGCCTGTGGTAAATCTTTTATCTAAAAATAAATGATATCTGAAAATATTTCATACATTGAGTTTCCTTAGTGATATAGTCACATAGACAAATTTCAGAAAACTCTAAATATTCTGTATGTACAATGAGACAATTGGGGTGTAATTATAAGTGTTCAGAAATTATTTGTCAACTACATTCAGAGAAATAATTACAGTATATCACAGGTTTGTAAAGGAGTCGTTTTGTTTTTTACTCTAATTTTGGCAGTTATTCATAAGATTAAGACATACTGATACATATTGCACAAACAAGCATCGCTGAATATATATATTTTATCCAGACAATTGTCTTTGTTTTTTAGAATCATAGAACAACCCTTTGAACATTAAGTGTACATAAGATATATGCTGTCATATATACTGTACTCCGAAGTCAAATGACTTTATAAAGTTTTAGAGTATTGCACTTAATAACGGTCGCTTCAATGGCCGCTCGGGTTTATATCTGATTATGTTATATTGAAGCAGCCACTTGTGTTGAAAGGGTAAAAAAAAAATGAATTACAAAATTCATATTTGTTCGCAGACGATATGCCTTTATCTGATTTACTTTTTGTTCAGTTTCATTGGAACAGATTGCATAATTACTATTTATCATATCAATAATAACTGTTTTTTTCAGTTTTAAGCATTTTCATGTTATTTTGTAAATAGATGTTATTAAATGTATTAGAATCACATCTGAGTTGTTATGTTTTAATGATTATATATTTTAGAATATAGTGATGTTGGGTGTATATATTATATAATTCATGACAATATGACTTACAACTACTCTTAGTGTGTAGTTTTGTTAATTATTTAATCATTTTAACCATGTTTTTAGATTAGTTACATGATATTATCACTTTAATTTTTATTTCATATCCCTAGTTCAGCATTTGTATCATAATTTCCCTGTTAATATTGGCCAGTTGGTACTCATGCCTTGGATTAATGTCAATGAAAATTGCAGATCTTTTCTAAAATAAGTTATATAGATTTCATGTATTAACTAAGACTACACAAGTATGGAAAATAAGAGTTGTTATGGCTACTTATGGTCAAATAAAGAAACTGAATTGTCATAAACGTTGCCTTGTTAAAATATTAAAATTCCACAACGAACACTGCATGGCATTGCCTTCTCAAAGCACTTCTAGCTTTTTAATGGCTTTTATTTGCATCATTCCAAATTCAGTCAGATATTTGTAGTTCCTTAAATTTTAGAAATGCTTAACTGTCGCTTATTGACGTCACTAAAGCAAAAGCTGCTTACAATAATATAAAAGGTCATTATGTCATGAAATGCTTAGCTTTAGTGGGATTGCAAGAGCCACAAAAATCTGACTAAAAATTAGAATGGTGCAACTCCGATAGATTCAGCTTCCCAAATACACTTTTTACCATCCCTTTAACATAAAAAGGTATTGAACAGTGGCATATAATACTCAAATAAAGATTCATTTGGCACCATTTCAGCATTTAACCAATAATTTTGTCATGTCAAATTTGGATCATTTTTTGCATAAAATGGCAGCTTCACATGGTATTTTATAGAATTTTGTAAGAAGTAGAACACAATGAATGGTGCATGGATCTCTTATTTTAAAATTCCTGAAGCCTTTGTTTAAGCCATTTAGATATATAATTGTTATGATAATGTATGATATATATATTTACTCAGATACCAATCACTATATATTTGTTGTTATTTGTTAGAAATTTGTTGATTTTAAAGATGTCTGATATTGATTGAAGATGGTGAAAGTTCATGAAAATGTCTACTGAAATAACAAACATATTCCTCTAATGTTACAAGATTTTGCTGCAAGGATTTGGTTGAATTGACCGTCTCTTCTGAACATTCTAGTCAATAGCAAACAGCTGAGGTAGAAAGTTGGTTATTTGATTTAAGACATTTTCATGAAGGCTTGTTATTTTGTGCCTTGATGTAATATTCATAGAGATTCAAGATTTTTAAGATTTAATGACTCCAAATATAGATCTCACAAAAACAGAAAAGAACTGCCTAGATTTGAGATAGACTACATGTTCTTTTAGCAACAGTATATGATTATCACTGTACTGTTGCTAAAGGAACATGGATAGGCTTTTTGTATCAACATAAAAAGTTTGTAAGCTCCATTCCAATTTTGCTAATTTTTGGGCTTATGTTTTATAAGATATATGGGTTAAATAAAGAATCAAAAATAAAGAATAACTATCAGAAATATAGAATATCTTTCAGAGGGAAATAGTAGCTATCAGAAGTAAAGTATTGCTATCAGAGTTAAAAAAAATTACTATCAGAAGTAAAGAATTGATATCAGAGACAACATGGTGGTCATCATGTCTTTGATTTGTAAGATAGATAGCCATGACTCAGATTCAGAAGAACAGTTAGAGATTGAAAGAAACATTATGCTGGTATAGCCTGGTTGAGGTCATCTCACTGAAACCATTAAATTCCATTTTTACACTGAAATTTCTAGAAAGGAATCCTTCCAATTTCAAAGCAGGCTATGCCCTGGGGAGAGTTATAATATTCAGGTCTGATTCTAATGCTCACAAATATTTTAGATTGTAAATATAATTTTGTAGTGTCATATTTTGTTTTGTCATTGCCATTTCTTATAACAAATTTTAAAAAAATGCTTTTTAGAAAAAAATAACATTGTTAAAAATTAGTATATTATCATTTTGACAAAAATTAATCTGTCTCTAAAAGTGGATGGCATTTTTCATCAAAGAAGACATAACTGGCATTTCCTTCAAAACTGCCAGAAAATTGGTTGAGTTTGAGTTCATAAATTGTAGGCCGAATCTATTCAGATTTATTTGTTGTTTTCTTGGACAATACAACTTTAATTGTGTTTTAACAATTGTAGGCTACTGTCAATATCATGCATAATGAATTATTATTGAAAAAATTGACATGTCTATTGAATCATAATATATCATTGAAATTCTTTGGAAGAAGATATTGTCATCTTCAATGATAACAAAATTGACCAAGTGATATTATTCTAAATTTATGGAATATAAAATGGATATATATTTGTTTAGTATCATGTATCACATAAATGTAGCCTATTAAATATAATGTTTGTTAAGATTTAAGTTGTTTTAATTCACACATGACTTAGCCTACCCCAGTTGTAGAGTTAGCAATTGATTTTTGCTGCTATTAAAGGGACGGTTCATCATTCGTTTGACTAATGGCGCCTTAGTCTGAGAAACGGGTTTTTTTTAAGCTAAGCTAATCAATAATAGTGTTCACAGCTCACCGTCAAGAATTATCCGGGTCTTATTGTTAAAATGAGGCTGGCTATCATTTAAAAAAGTCGTGTAGAAAGTGAAATTCCTAGATCTGAAATTTTTTCGTACATTTTTAGTTCATCTTAAGGCTATTAACATATATTGAAGACCCAAATCAACACTCGGAAATGGCAATCTGTCCCTTTCAACAAAATAATGAAAATTATAGTCGTTTGCAGAAGTAAATTAGGCTATAATTTATAAATCGAATACCGAAATTAAAAGTTTAAAGGCACATTTTGCTATTTTTACTACCGGGGAAGCTATGTTCAAAAAACCTGTATATAATTCATACTTAATAATGGTGAAGGGACAAAGAAGGCCTGATTTAGCAATTTACTACGTAGTCTGCGTCTAGTTATATAATAGGTTTTGACTGTTGAAGGGAGATAACTCTGTTTAAGTTGGCTTTAAACCACAACTAATTCTACTAATTCTATTTAATAGTTTTTCTGATTGTTTATGGATTATTTTTCGATTAAACCTTCGCCATTGGGTCTTAAAAACTCACCTTCAACAAGTTTGGCTTCAATGCCCGCCTCCCCCACATATGGACCACATACCTGCTGCATGTAATTTTGAAAAATAACTTTGAATGCCGTAGAAAATATTTATCAAATAATTTGTCGAGAAAAAAATTTTGAGCTAATAAATGGCTGTAGGCCTAATTTGTAGTTAGCTCCCTTTACATGCCAACTTGACCGAACTTTAAAACTGAAGTGTTTGTTCAAATTGTAACATATTGTAGAAATTAGCCGATAAAGCATCAAACTTTATTCGGTTGAAAACGCAACCCGAAATCAATGAAAATACCAAAGTATCCTATTTTTTTTAAATACGAAAATCCTTTATGCGAAATAAGCTAAAGGCACATTTTCTTGCTCAGGACATAGTTAAACAAATATATTTCCGCGTGATTTCTGCATTTATTAATGCTCAAAGACCTATGAACTAATAGGGTAGAGGTAAATAATTACCAACTGTAGTCAAATTATGACCAAGTTGATCATTCTAGTATATCTCAAACTATTTTCGGTCATATTTCTTACATGTATGATCCCGGAAAACCCCTACATTCTAGTTTATTTCAAACTATTTTCGGTCATATTTCTTACATGTATGATCCCGGAAAACCCCTATTGATGTCTGAACCTACTTACTGATTGGAGGTTGGATGTTCTAGAATATACTCTCCTACAGAAGCACTGGCCAAGGTCAGAAGAAAAGAACATACGTCTTTTACATCAATGTGAGTAATTTGCCATGGAAAAATCAAATTACTGAGATTTTTGTTTTTTTAGAAGCAGTAACCCGTGTAATTTCGTTTGACAACAAGAGAAACACTTTTGTCAGTGGAATTATAGGTCGCAACAAAGGGTATGATTTGATTGCCATGCTGGGTATAGACCACTGGATACGGTTTGCAATTGATCGATCCCTCTTTGCAGTCGCTTGGTTTTGGGTTAAACATTAGGCAATATGGAACTTTTTCAATGGGCATGACGAGAATATCTTCAATGAAATAATTAGGTAGGTTGAAATGATTCGCGATTGGTCAATTTCTTTCTT